TAACGATGCAACTCACCCCTTTATTTATGTCGATCACCCCCGATTCCAAACTTTTGTCCAGTGAGTGTACATGTATAAATAAAATTTTGGATTTTAAGTCACTATGCACATTTATTAGTATTTTGCAAAATGACTTTCTGTTGTCGGGAAAAACAAAAATAATTGCGCCAATCTTGTCGTGAAACTGCAACGCTGCACCGGTATCGTGTTACAGACGGCAAAGTGTGAGTGTGTGTAAATACTGTATAAAAAGGTGTACTAGTTTGAAAGGTTGAATTTTGGATTACTATAATACTTAAAAGTCTTTTAGCTCAAAATGTCTCAAGCTTACTATCAATCACAGCCGCAAATGACATCGGATACCGATATTCAAATAATATCCACACCAGTACCAGCACAGCCAATAACATGGAAATATGGATTGTGTGAATGTTTTGATAATATAAGCGTCTGCAAGTATTAATGTATATTAGTATTCTGGTCATAGCTAAGTTTTAATAATCATTATTGGGATTACAGGCTGCCTGGCCTTTTGTTGTCCATGCATATTAAATGTAAGTTTTCATGAATAGTACAATTAACAGTTTTATTACCAAGCTTTTAATGTTTATACATGTTTCTATGTCTAGGGCAAAACTAGATTCAAAGCGGATGGTGCAGACGAACCTGTTCAGTGCTGTTGTTTCTTTTGCTCAGTGTTATTTGGTGTCTGGTGCTGTCTTGGGACCATAAATCATATTCACCTTCGAAGAAAGAAGAATATCAATATTCACGTTCGTATTCTTTTAAGAATGTATGTGTATTTTTGTAAAATTTGAATTTAATTCAATATATAATAGGGAGGAATTATTGATGATGCATGCATTTGGTGGTGTTGTGCTCCGTGTGCATTGACTCAAGAACATCGGGAATTCAATGATCCATAATTTTTAGACCAAAATTACAATTACAGTATTACCCAACTATATTCAATCATATACATTAAATGGAACTGAATCCTTTTTTTACTATGCATATTATCATGTATTTTGTGAACCAAATTATTTTCAGGATTAGTTTAAAGATATTATTTTACTAATTAAGTTTATCTCATTGAACATACAAACTGGCATTTGTTATAATTCTTAAATATTCGATGTTAATATGAAAGCCAAAAATATGATCTATGTTTCAAACTAAAGAATACCTGTGATTTTTTAATCCATTTTTGCTTTACTAATTCAAGAACTTTCTTTTTGAAAATCTGTCATACTGAAAATTGTAAGTATTTAAAATCTTTTAGTTCCTTTACTTTATATATATACAAGATAAAAGTCATAATATGCCAATATCTTTTTGGTTCATTGTTTCATTGATATCCCAAGTAAATGTTTCATAGTTGAAATTAATATTGTTATAATAATAACAATAAATTCCTTGATCTTTCCTTAAAACCCTTAACATATGTAACAATTATATGTAACATTTCACGACCCATTAATCGTTAACTCACTTGACATAAAGATTACAATGTTCGTTACCGTTTCTACAGTATACATGTACATGCACCAAGTTGTAAGAATACATACATGTACATGCATAAAACGCCACAAATAATATATAACCAACGTTTTCACGACAACGAAACAGAAAAAATGGCGTCAACAAATGACTGGTTGGAATACATTAAATCAGAAGAACAAATAAAATTTTTTGATTTTAATGAATTTTCTGATAAAAAAGTAATTGGAAATGGCGCATTCGGTGAAGTTTACAAAGCCGTGCTAAAAGATGGAGATTTAACTGTTGCTTTAAAATGTCTTTATATAAAAGATAAAAGATATAATAAAGAAATAAA